ATACAAAATTTCTCCTTCTTTCCCTTCTCTTTTCCCACATCCCAGAAGCCCTTTACTCTTCAGTGCTTTCCTATCATTTCACAGTGTCTATCATACCTCCGAGTTTAAATTAACTCTTTCAAGTTTTACACTAGTGACACAATGCGGTGCTTGCACAGCCCTAGTGACACTTAATCTCAAGTAGAAACATAAACTTCTCTGATGGTGTTACCTGTTTAACATCCACTACAAATATTCACATGGAATTTTTGTTTTAACCTATGTTTTTAGTCTTCTCAGGTGAGTACCCAGGCACGGGCTTGCTCAGTCCCTTGACTGCCAGCTTACATTCCGGCCAGCCATGTCGGGAGTTGAGTTTCCCTGCCCCCTCCCCAGCGCTAGTGTCATTGTGATGTTTTCAAATTTGAGCCATTTTAAGAAGTGTGTGGTGGCATTTCACTGTGCATTTCTTTAGTGCAATAGTGCCACATGGAAGACTCCTTATTAATGTCAGCACCCTTGAGGGTTGGAAAGTATTTAAAGCAATGGGAACTCCCAGCGCTGCTAGTGCAAGTATAAATTATTCATAGTCCTATTTTGAATTTAGTAAAGAAAAAGCAAACACCCCCTTTGACGTCGCAATTCTGTATGACACGTGTATGTTCAAGGGGACTCGAATAAGATGATTCTTGCAGCATGATGTGTATGATCAGAGACAGAACCATCTTAAATACCCATCAAGACAACAGAGAAATAAATTGTGACAGTAGTTAAATGCAGTAATTACAGAGCAGTTAAAAATGGAGTAGAACTAAATATATCAACATGAAGTTATCCTAAAATAGTAAAAAAAAGCAAGTTACCAAATGACACCTAAAATACTACAATATTGCTACAAAATCTGAATATTCAAAGTAACAGTGGTCCGGAGCAGGGAGCGGTGCCGTCAGGCCTCGGCCCTCTGTCCTGGTTCCAGGCCAGCGTTTGTCCCTGGAGTGGCGCTGTTCTGAGACGTGGCTGCGCCTGGGGCCGCTGTGGTCTTAGCAGAGTCGGGCGCGGGCAGCACCGCAGCGCCCGGGACAGTGGAACTGCCCGCTAACTCTGAGCAAGGGAAATCATCGCAGATGTGCTTCAGCCTCATCACTTCCATTTTTTATTTCCCCTTTCAAAATCTGCCACAAGATAACGTTTTAGTGATACTAAAACTGTGGACTGACATAGGTGAAATTTTGTATTGATTTTTTTTCGTAATACTCCAAATAATACATGGACTTACTGAACTAGATTTTTTTTTTCTGGTCTGAACAAAATCCTTTACATGTAGACCATCTGGCATTTAACACATTTTAATTACAGAAATTTTGGGATATAGAAGTGAGTTACAATGAAAAATTATAATTAGCCGGAAATAGCCACAGTTGGCATTTTGTTGTATTGACTTCCATGTCTTCTGTTGTGTGTATAAAAATACCAAACTTCAAATATGAATACACTTTTAAAGACATGAACAGGTTATGTTGTACACTAGTTTTACAGCCAGCTTTTTTCACTTGACAGTATACTGTATTTACTTCACATTAATGAGTAATGGTTTCACATTGACTACTTTATACTCCACTGTATTGTACATTCCTTAATCCATTTTTTAGGTATCCAGATTTCCAGTTTTTAGTTGCTTTGTTTTAAGCACTGGAGACTTAATTCTGGGTCTCACACATAAGAAGCAAG